TAATCACTATTCTGCCCAGCGTCATTACTGAAGCTCCCACTCTACCAGTACGGACTGAGAGTCAGGGTGCCCAGCTATTCAAACAGTTGTTTTTCAAGATAAACCTATCTGTCATTACTCATTCCTAGTAGAAAAAGAGAGTATGAACAATAAAAAAGATTTTTCATAACATTTTCTTTTATAGTAAACAATTGACAACAAAAGTTTGGCTCTAAGCTGCACTGATTATATGATTATGCAAAAGAAACACATCACCAAAAATAATTTTGTTCCACACATGATTGAACTTTCATACAACAAAGAGTGACTTATCTGTAAAGCCCAGCAATATGGACATCAATATTTAATAATAAACTAAAAGACCAAGATTAAATTCAGCATTTGACAGATAAGAACTAATGAAGAAGTCCAATTATATGCATAAGACTCAAATCTATGACTAAAGCAGAGACAGTAACCTGCCAACCGAGAACTAGATCACCATATCTTGTGCAGCAGCAAATTGTTCATTTTCTCTAAGCTTGTATTATATTACTGGTCAAATCAGAAGTATCAATGGTGGAGACAATTCCCTTCCACATCAACCAAGTCCTCTGACATACTGATCAACTGTTGTATCAAACAGCTGACATCTGCACAAACAAGGGAAACATATCTATTATAATCAATATATCATAGACTACCAAAAGGAATATGAATCGTATGATCAATATGAAGAATACAGCATCTCACGACTAATAAACTAAAGAAGATTCTCGCGCCACATTTTCCAATTTTTAATAAGACTAGTCATAGATGATATAAACTAAAACAGAGGTAGTGGTTCCAAGAAGAAATGAACAAGTTGCTCAACACAGCCTCTACAAGAATAAATCAGTCAGAAAGTGATAACCAAGGGCAACCGATGATTGACAAAACAAAATACTTCGACTGTTTCTCAATGAATCTGAGCATGCACTATTATCAATTTTAATTCTTCTATTGCTGATGGTGCAGGTTGGGGTGTGTGTGAAGGTGTTCCAAATTTAAGACAATCCGAGGAAGCAACAATCATATACCATCTAATTTGCTAAAATGGGACCAGAAGAAAACAGTGAAAATACAAGAGAGAAGACTTTCATCATATGTTTACTAGCCACTCAACACATGATTCTACGGTTAGTGTGCTTTTTGCACTGCCTCAACTCAAGAAAGCCCTATTATAAACTAGTTTCGGCTAAATAGATACTCTTCTTCCACTTGGCTACATAAGAGTCATCTCCAAAGTAAAACCACAAGCAAAAATCCTTTTAATATCTCCATCGATATAATATTAAGTCAGTCATCAAACAGCCCTCCTTTGATTCATGAGGTACGAGAGGTGGCATTCAGTATTTATGCTAATGGTGTCACTGGTCGTGATGGCTTCCCATCCTTATTCTACCGCATTGTTGGAAGATCATACACGATGATATGTTTGGGCCATGTTGGATTTCTTTGCTGGTGGTCACCTACTCAAGGGTTTTGTTGCTATTTCTATTGTTTTGCTCCCTAAGAGGGAGAGGGTGTTGTAAATGGACGATTAGTTTATATATAGTGTTTAACAAGCTTATAATTAAGCTGTTAACTACTCGGTTGAGTAATGTGAATTTTCATAACAAAGTGAATTTATCATTGGTCGTAAGAAAACTAAAACTCCTTACAAGCTTTGGAAAAATAAAATTCTCAATATTATTGACTTTAAAGTTTTCAGTTGCAAATATTTTATTTTGAATACAAAGATAATTTGAGAAAGTTCAATTCAAAATCCGATATCGAAATTTTCCTACAATATTCATCGACTAGCAAAACTTATAGAGTATTTAAGAAAAGAACCCTAATAGTTGAAGAATCCATGCATGTCACATTTCATGAGACTAACTCATTTGATAGTGAAAAAGGTATTGATGATGATGTAGGTTTGGAAGCTCCATTTGAACAAATGAACATGCAAGACTAAAACAAAGGAATGCCAAATGAAGAACAAACGAATGAGTCAAACGTTCAAGAAAGTCAAGAAAAATCAACCGAGACATAAGGTGATCCCCCGCTACCAAAAGAATGGAAGTTTGTTCCATCTCATCCAAAAGAATTAATAATAGACGATCCATCCAAGGTATCATCATTAGAATCTCTCTTAGAAATCATTTTGGTAGTTGTGCATTCATTTCACAAATTGAACCTAAAAATTTTAAAGAAGCCGAGTTTGATAAATTTTGGATACTAGCAATGCAAGAAGAACTAAATCAATTTAAAAGAAATCATATTTGTGATTTAGTTGCTAGACCAAATAATCAAACCGTAATCGGTACAAAATGGGTCTTTAGAAATAAACGGGATGAAAATAGGATAATTGTGTGTAACAAGGCTAGATTAGTGGTCCGAGATTACAATCAAGAAGAAGGCATCGATTTCGAAAAAACATTTGCACCGGTAGCTAGATTAGAATACATTCGCATGCTTCTTGCATTTGCGTGTCATAAAAAATTCATTCTTCATCAAATGGATGTCAAAAGTGTTTTATTCAAGAAGAAATGTTTGTTGAACAACTACCCGATTTTAAAGATCACAAATATCCAGACTATGTTTTCAAATTTCGAAAGACTCTCTACAGTCTAAAACAAGCTCTTAGAGCTTGGTACCAACGATTGAGCAAATTCCTAATTTTAAATGATTTTTCCATTGGAAAAATGGATACCACTCTTTTCGTTAAAACTCAAAAGAACGATATGATCGTTGTTCAAATTTATGTTGATGATACTATATTTGGTGCTACAAATATCCATCTTTGTGAAAAGTTCTCTAAATGTATGAGCATGGAATTTGAAATGAGCATGACGGCAGAACTTAAAGTCTTCCTCGGTCTCCAAACTAAACAAACTTGTGATGGAATCTTCATAAATCAAAGTAAGTACATTTTGGATATGCTCAAGAGATTCGACCTGGATGATTTAAAGCCTATGAACACCTCTATGAGCACATTCATAAAATTGGATAAGGACGATCAAGGTACATCCGTTAACATAACAAAATATCGAGGTATAATCGGATATCTTCTTTATTTAACCGCAAGTAGACCCGATATCATGTTTAGTGTATGTCTATGTGCTAAAGTTCAATAAAATCCTAAAGAATCACATCTCAAGGCCGTGAAACGAATCTTTAGATATCTTAGCGGTACTAAAACTTTGGGACTTTGGTATCCTAAGGGCACTCACATCGCGATCTAATTAGCTATTCGGATGCTGATTGGGCCGGATGCACAATTGATCGCAAAAGTACTAGCGGAACATGTTACTTTCTAGACTTTGCACTTGTATCATGGTTTAGTAAGAAACAAAACTCCGTTACATTATCTACCACCGAAACCGAATATATGTCGGCCGCTAGCTGTTGTGCCCAAATTCTATGGATGGAACAAACTTTTAGTGATTATCACCTATTCTTTGATCATACACCCATTATGTGTGATAACAATACTGCCATAAACTTGTCTAAAAATCCTATTTTGCACTTTAGGATGAAGCACAATGAATTAAACATCACTTCCTAAGAAACCGTGCTCAAAAGGTTGATATCATGTTAGAATTTTGTAAACACGAAAAATCAATTAATCGATATCTTCACAAAACCTCTAGCTCTTAATCATTTCTCACACATTATAAGAGGTTTAGGGATTATTGATGAATCCAAAATACATAATTGAATACATGCAAATTACATTTTTTTATTATTTCATGAACATCATATTTAGTTTGCTTTAATTATATAAAAAAAGGTTGTAAACACGAAAAATCAATTAGTCAACATCTTCACAAAACCTCTAGCTTTTGATCATTTCTTACACATTATAAGAGGCTTATGGATTATTGATGAATCCGAAATACATAATTGAATACATGCAAATTACATTTTTTTATTATTTCATGAACATTATATTTAGTTTGCTTTAATTATATTAAAAAAAAAGGAATGGACGAGCTAACCGGACGTCGATGATGCGATTTTAAACCCTGGTTTCGCGAACCAGAACACTTCTCCACCAACATTTCTCTCCCTAGAGTCACTGTAAATCACTCAAACTCTCAATCTATTTCTCAATTTCTAGTTGAAATCATTGAACCCACTCCATCTCATCATCAAATCTCAAAGCATTTCAACTTTTTATCCACCAAAATCTCATTTTCTCATAAAATCCGAACCCAGTCTTTTTCATTCTTATTTCTAAAATGTCGGGATCTAGAAGAATGGGGAGACTCAAGAGCACGGTGCGGCGATCTCCTCCCTCGTCATCCGACGAGGAATTTGATATGGTGCCCGAGGTACCGGTCAACTCGTTTGAAAAATCACCCATTCTAATAGGTAAGACGTTGATTTTGCCGATTTTACCATTGAAGCACCTGCATTTCATATTAAAGTATATTTCGAAAACATGGGTTGGGCGTCGGTCGCTACTCTTGAAGAGCATGCATATCCCCGTCTTATGAAAGAATTTTACCAAAACACAGTCATTTCACGTGGTTCGGATGAACTTTCATGTTTAATAAAAATGTTCATATCACCGTCAACAGAGCTCTCATTCGTGAAATTCTTAAGCTTGAGCCGCGTGATACTCAAATTTTTCGACATAAAACTCATCCAACTCTTGAAGGGTACAATCCCTCTAAAGCATGCCGTCGTATAACCGGAAAGAACTTTGAAAATATCACAAAAATTAGTACAAATAATCTAACACTTCCATGTAAAGTTTTACAAAACATTATTGCACATGTGATTCTTCCTTGAAAGGGTCATCGAGACGAAGTGAGCCTTTTTGATCTTTTTGTCCTCGATTCCTTCCTTGATGGCCAAAAACTCGACTTTCTAACTATTGCCCTCGGTCTCATGAAACTTGTACACTTCACACGACATCTTAAAGCTTTGCTTTACGGAATGCTTCCTATAAAAAAATGTAAACATTTTGACATTCCACTTTATAGTGAGACTTTCGTTAAGCTTCACCCTACCGATACCATCTACACTCAAACCCTGAAATGAATGAAAATAGTAAAAGAACATGGTCAATGGGTGGCACACACAAAAGGGTTCGACCCCACCTCGGGTCCATTAACTCTACCTCTTGACGGTGATGAAGATGATGCTGTTGATGATCTACCACAAGTCCTACACCCACCTCACGATATTCCAGCATCTAGTGCTCCTCGCCCTCGTTTGGAGGATTCACATTTACCGAGGATCACTATAACCTCCTATCTTTGGTGGATGGACTTGGTAGGATGCTTCGGGAGTTATAGGTCCAGCAAGACGCTATTCGAGCTCGTTAGGATGCCATCCAAGCACAGCAGGCGGACATGCAAGCTCAGCAAAACGCCTTCTACGCTCACTTCTATGCACTTTTTCCTCCTACGTTATGACTTATTTTTAGCAATATGGCTTATTTATGCTTCTATGATTATCTTCGTTTATGATTAACGCTGCTGTTATTATTATCCATGATTAGCCTTTTACTTTTTGTTTATGCTACAAGGGGGAAAATGTATGATAAGAGGGATGATTATGCATGATTGAATTATAATTTACAATTCATTTTTACAATGATATAAATATATTAAAAAGGGGGAAACTCACAATTTAAATGCGTGGTTATCTATTTGTAAAAGATAGTGGGAATATAAATTACATGATAAATTCCTTTTATCAATATGATATTAATTGTCCATATCTTACATTGCAAATCATCTTATTTGTCATAATCAAAAGGAAGAAAATTGTTGACCTATGATTGATTTCAAGTTTTAATTATAACAAACAAATTATTCTTATCTCTAACATTTTTATTTTAGTCTTCAATTATACATTTTACAAACCTGCAGAAATCAAGCATGCACAATCAAACTTGGAAATCGAGCACTCACACTAGGAATCATCGGAGACAAATCAAGTATTCGCGCCAAATTTAAAATCGAGCAACAAAACGTTCACTTGCGCCAAATCAATCGAAAATATTAAACTTAGATGATTCGAATTCATATGTAAAGGTAAAATACTTTAATTCATAGCAATGAATCACAACAAGCTCATAAGTTAAATTTTTTATGCACGATATAAAACTTTTTCACAAAAATACTCGCATAAAAATTATTTTCAATATGACAAAAATCTTTACTTGACTTTTTGAATTTATTACCAATGAAACTCGTTTTGAAAATAATTTAAGTGAAAAACGTCCCTAAAGGATCTACATTTGCTAAAACAATCAAGAAAAGAGCAAAACGGAGAATTATGCTCTGGCGGACGTCCAGTATTCCAACGGTCAAATTTTTTACCGTTCTGATTTCTGACGATCAATGGCTAGTTCAGTTGTCCGGTACATTGGCGGACATTCGGTAGAGGTCGTCTAACCAGAATTTCGCTTTTTCAACTGCTATAAATACCAACTCACCATTTATTAAAACAACCTAAGAGCATTCAATTGAGATTCTTTTAACCTAAAATAGTATCGATCTCTCATATCATTTATTTTGCTATAGAAAAATCATTCATAAACATTAATTCTTGAAAATCATTCCATGCATCAAAGATCTTCACACCTAACACTTGAGGTTCATTAATTGCTATCTATTAAAGTGTTAGCCTATTTCTCTTCTTATACTCAACCTTGGAACTATTGTTCATTAAGAAGAGAAAATTTCATTTGTAAATCTATTTGAATTGTGGGTCGTGTTGAGGTCCCCGAAAGCTCAACGTTGTAAAAGGATCGGTGCTCCTTACTTGTAAGTCATCGGAAGCTTTGTAAAAGATTGGATTGCACCACAAGTCAATCAATATAGTGAAATTGGCCTGACTCGTGCCGGAGAGCTTGGTAACGGAAGACGTAGATCATTATGTTGTATCGAACCTCCATAATTATATCGTTTGCATTTTTTATCCCTATTTACTTATTGCTCTCATATTTGTGCTTACTATTTGAATTAATCTACTTAATTTTTACTTAGTTGACTTTAGACTAATTCTTCGAAAAAGTTTGAATAACCAATTCACCCCCCTCTTGATTAGTTATTCTTGGGCTATCAATTCGTACCATCATTATTCCTCTGTTGATATTTTGGTTCCTATGAATTAGGAGGAATGATGCAAAGCATAATGAAATATGTACATAACCTAGACGGATTATCTGGAGAGTACTGCATGATTTCTCTTCTCCATATAGGTCGTTTATTCCGGCCTATTCATTGATATGGAATTTGGCTATCATCTCCCTTTTTGGTGTTTATTTGACTCATTCCATAATACCCCCTATATTGATTTTTGGCATACTCCACCAGTGGAATTTTATAAGATCGCCATTGACACATGTCAAGAATGGATTTGCTAGTGGTGGGGGTATTATTCAAGATCAGGATGAACAGCACATTAGGACCTATTTGTCATCTTATGGAGGCGGCACATCTGGAATCCGAGTAATAAGCTATCTTCGATGAGATTTTACTTGCTCGACGACTTGAATTATTGGGCATCTGGGTGGAAGCCAACTCGTCTGCATTCATTCGCTGCATTACTAAGGGTAGAGGACAATGGATGATTCTGATGATTCTTAGACAGATTAGACACCACATCTCAACTATCTGATACCGTTTCCCACACTTATCGTGAGAGGAACCTGGTTGCTAACTCACATGCATTTGAAGGGTAGGATCAGCATTATTATCAGGAGTATAGTCATTTTAACCTACCATGACGATTTCAAGCTCTTCTACAAATTGACAAATATAGATTTCTTAGTATTAGAGGACATTAGTTTGATCCAGCACACAACGAGCATCGGCAACCGCACGTGCTGATCCGCACATTTTTTTTTTTTTTGAATAGATAAAATTTTTAGCTTATGTATCTGTTAATTCATTTTGTTTTCAAACATATCTTATACCTCAGTTAGTTAGAGCCTCCACATCTAAATTGGAAGTCCTCGGATTGAATCTCTTCCAAACCAATTTATTGTGCAATTTTTCTACAATTTTTACCAAAATAAATGCAATAGGGAGGGGATTCCAACCTGTGAGCCCTCCTTAAGATTATTGAAAACTTGACTATCATAGCATTCGTTAAATGTTGACACTAAAGGTTACAAAATAATATATGTTCAATTCTAGCGATTTTAATGCAATTGGAAAGATTCGACCATGTGTTCTTCCTTTGAATTAACAAAACTTGGCCACTAAGTCATTTGGTGAATATTAATATATATAACAAAATTATATATGTTTAGTTTTAGAAAAATATTTGTCATATTTGATTGCGTCCGACAGTTAACGGTCGCCCGTGCTTATTCAAAATCCTGGATCCGCCACTGGTTTGATGCTCACTCTTTTTGTATAGGAAGTAGTACTTTCCTTCTTATTTCATTCCCTCATATGTTTTTTTTGATAGGTAATCACGTNTGCCGTTTCGTTCTCTCCACACACACCAAACGATGCATCCGGGAATGAGATCCCAAACAAACTTGCTATTCTTATCTCGAAACTTTCTCTTCCATGCCCACACCACCTCCTTGATACACCTTGGCAACACCCAACTCATGTTGCGAAGCTATAATATCATTCCACATCCAACGGACACCGTCACAGGGAATGAACAAAAGATCGATCGTCTCGCCTTCCCTCTTATACATATAGCACCACTCCGTAATACAACAGCCCTTTTTTCGAAGATTATCCGCCGTTAACACCTGTCCCCCTCATATGTTATCTTTGTATTTTTAAGAGGTCATGTTTATGCTCCATTCCTCTTGTTCTCGTGAGTTTGTTTTTATATATATGGATGGGGAACCCCAAACCCCATTAGCCTTCCTTGGTAGAGTCTGATAAACCACTGAGGTTGTATTGGTGGTTTACTTATTTTTATAGTTGGTGCATCGAAAAGCTTTTAGGCTTTCACTAAATATGCCCAAACCATCTCAAATGGTACTTCCAGATAATTTTGAGCACTACCTTAAACAACTTATAAGAATGCCCATTTCTTAATATATCTCTCCGTATTTTAATGAAAAATCCATTTAACATTTCATCTTATTCTATATTTTTGCTCTCTCTGACAACAAATTAATTGAATAGCAGAGGCATGCCACAACATTCAGAAGTCACACAAATCTTCTATGCAACATTAGAATAAAATCCAGAGGGGTTAATATTGGTATGCTACATGATTGATCAATTAATCTTCTTTTTTGTGACCTTGGAGGCCTAGAATAGTCTTTCCGTTATACATTCTTACAGAAAATTGTTCCCAAGGGCCTCATTATGCATTTACAGGAGATGACATATTACTCTCAACACTGAGAATCACCCATTCTAAAAGTAAAGTAATATGAGGAATACACAACACCACTAACGGCCATCCAAATACAGGTTATGTTCAGATCCAAAATTACCTTGGTAATAGATCACAAAAGGCAACGTTTAAATTATTCACTCGATTACATTTAATTTATATAGTCCATTATGCATCTCAGATATGTGAACAACCTTATCATAGCTCTTAAGCATTTATGAAAGATAAATAGGAGTACTCATAGTACTTGTCACGTTACACAGCTAATAACGAAATCTTTGATCACCCGTTACAGTTACAAGTAGCATATGGGAACAAAGACCAATTACACATTGCTAATTAAAATCCTAGTAAAAGTTGTCTATATCAGAATGAATTATGGCATAAGAACATGAATTTTGAACAATCATAAATCTTTTTAGTTCTTCACTTGTATGCCTTAAACCTTTGCATGTCTAGTTTTCGGAGAGTACACTTCTTAAAATTACAATTCTGACATGCTGATCATTTGATCAATAAAGATAATTAGATGATCTATATAGTTGCAGAGATAATTGAAAAATAGATGACTGACCTAATTGGAGTTCCTGGGGAATACAGTGGATTCTTGACAACATATTCAACATACAAGTTATAAATGTACTTCAGGGATTCCCTAAGATCTCCAGTCCTCGGGTGGGTGACAAGGATGATCTGCAGCTCAACAGATCATTATATTAGAAACAACCATAAATATAATCACCACAACATCTGAAGAAAGGGGTTCTAGAATGTAGAAGTCGAGATGAACTGTGAAGATAAATGTCACGACTCACGATCAAATACGAAAACCAAACATTCACCTTACCTTAATCAATTGTGAGGGGGCAGAATATTATTGATTTAGAAGATGCACCCAATGCAAGATTGCTATAACTCTAGTTAAATATGATATGCACAAATCATTTGTTCTCTCAATGGTGAATATTACTCCTAGCCGATAAACCTATTAGGCTCTATTTGATTGCAACGAATTCCATGAAAAATGTCACATTCGAGAAAAACGAATTCCACTTTGGCCGTTTGATTGCAATGTAGAAATGGAAACCGAATTCCAAAATACAACCACTTTAAACTGCATTTTCTTTATTTTCATGAAAAACGAATTCATATGGGATTTGTGGGTTTTTATATTCCAATTAACGCGGAATTGAAATTCATTTTCACCTTTGCACGTCAAACGGACCCTTAGTGAAAATTTGTTTAACTGAAACAAGCAGTATGTAATGTCTTTTCAGAGAATTGGCAAATGTTTCCCTCCCAATATGAACCTTCAATTTGAGAATTAAAAACGTGGTGCTGCTCGCAGTGTATAATTAAAAATCAAATGCACTACCAAAAAGGGCACATCAGCTAACCTTTATCCCGGATGGGCTCTCCATAAAAGTCAGTTTATAGGTATTTGTTCGGAAGCTGTGAAATGAACAACCTTGCCCAGGTAACTGTGGCACCCCAAGATTCCCTTTGTCAACACTGCCCAAATAAAAAAACAAATTCAGGAAAAGAAAAAATTGTTCAGTTAATTAGAGTAATCACTGCAAACCATATCAACAAATACCTAAAAATCAATTGATCTATATATATAAGAACTTTCAAGAGAAAAAAAGGGTACCAAGTAGGATCCATTTTAGCGGTTAAGGATTTGAGAGAGAATAGGAGTCCAAACATGAGCTTATGGTCCTGATGGGAATTGAGAGTCTTGAGGGGTCGATTCCATTCTCTGTAAAGCAAACATACTCCATTTCTGTTGAAAACGTAGAGCATGTACGCATTATTTCCTGATGCTGTGGGTACTGGTGGAGATGGGCTGATTTCTGATCCTCCAAAAAATTGCATTTTGATTAAGATTTGATGAAAAATCCCAGATTCAAATTACACAAATTTGTAACCAGCAGATCTTTGATCGACGGGAGCTTTTTGAAGGTTTTGACAGTTAATTACTTAAAAGCTAAAACGGCGCCGTTTAGAACCGATTTGGGTTGTAAACTCTAATTAACTTCCATTGTACAAGTCATGACTTGCATATTAATCTTTTAAAAAAAAAATTTAATTTTACACACATAATAACATGTTATCAAGCAAATTCGGTTTGGATCAAATTAACTTGATAACCTGATGAAGGTAGATTTGTTTGCACCTTTCCTTCTTTGTCAAACTTGATTATCTATTGAACGAATAGAGTGAATGATTTCGCTATTTTCGTATATTAATATACTTGATTGCCATTCCTTAATTAGAAAATTGCAACAGCTAAAGGTTAAATATAGTCTATACCCCTCTTAGTACAATGCTACTTTGAAGGATTCTAAGAAAAAGCCTTGCCAAAATTGCTACTTTAACCTATGAAATTTCTTCAATTTTGGCAGCTAAACCCCTTTTTGAATTGGCTAAAAATCAAATTTTGGGTAAATTTTGATAAAAAAAAAATAATAATAATAATAATAATAATAATAATAAAAGTTTGATTAAATGTATGGTTAAAAAAATGTAGATCCAATGTGATTGAAAATAATTTTGAAAATAAATGAGAGCAAAATGAGGGCTAACTTTGCAAAATTACACCTAAACAAAACAGCCCGTGGATAATGGTAACAGAGGAAAAGAGCAATACAAAACACAGTTTGTTTGTTTGGTAGACAGTTCATTCAAGAATCTGTATAGAAAGACAATCCAACTGCATCAAGAATACACAAAACAACCAACAATGTCAAACACTAGAGTACTCAACTATTCAAAGTTCATAGCCTGTTCCAAATGGTGAAGAAATTACATTTTTGTACTATTCAGAAAAAGAAATGATCGACTTAGATTCGAGAAAAACTACGAACAAGTTTGAGAGCACAATCGTCGCAAAACATATAGAAAGAGCTATAATCCAGTATTCCCATCACTTCGACTCCATGCAATTGGGAGGGCTTCCTTCCACCTTCTTTGAACCCTCTTCTTTTCAATTTGTTGATAGCACTGTCCCATTTGACTCGACCTGTTGATTAATGTGCCATAGAAAATTTGTCATTATCTAAGCCTCGAATACGCACAATAAATGTAAATGACTGCCAATTGTAACAAATTAAGAATTTACAATCACGAATTTCCTTTTTAGGAATAAGAGTACAGGCAAGATTTGACCATGGTTCTTCGACAGGCTATTAAAAAAATTCTTGTAAGACAAGATTTGGGCTTACAAAAAATTTGCTCATGGCTCTTCTTGTGTTTATCCCAATCTACTCTCTTCGGTTTGTGACATCTTGCACTCTAAACCCGTTTTAAATATTTAGTAAATTAGATAATCAAACTTCATTTTTAATCACACATTCCAATAGACTCACAAGCATTATTCACTTATCTACTACTCATTTCTATCTAATTATAGATTAAACAATTTATAAATTCTTCCCAAACGGACGCTTAGAAAAAAAAAAGTTTGGCGACTACAAGATACTTCCCTATTAGTTGAGTAACTGTGTTTTTAACATTAAAAAAAAAAAAAGAAGATGTTTGCGATGTTGGGCCTTCTGCATCCCCCCTCCTCTGCAGTTAAGGTAATGACTCCGGACATGGCTAGGTCTCATAATGTGACGGGTTGTGTATAATCAAATTATGACTTTACTTGGCTCTTGTTTGATAGCCATTATTTTTTTTATGGCCATTATTTTTTAAAAAATGGAGTTTTGAATAGTTATTATTATTATTATTTTTTTTTGAAAATGTGTGGTTAAAAAGTAAGGAAAAGTTTTGAGTTAGAGTACAAAATATTTTATGTAAATGTGAGATTGAAAATGAGTACGACAATTAAAGATTTTTGTTTTAAAGAGAGACAAACATGGGCTTGATCCTTTTTCTACATCTACCTCCAAGTGCGAGAAGACCCCAAGGGGGTTGTGGGTTTTCCCCAAACAATTGGGACTCCTAAAAACTGTAAAAGTAAAGTGCAAGCAACGTTTGTGGAAGTATATCTACTTGATGGTGCATTTGTTATCTTCAACGTTGCAACATTATTGCTATATTCGAGGGAGTACAGCATCAACTTTAGCAAGCCGAATTTCATTTTTTGTTGACATGACATTGTATCTGCATTTTGCAGGATTTATCTGGTTGTCCAGAAATATAACATCAAATGGGAAAAAAGAGTAAACAACACTCAACCGGCGCTGCAAATGCTTCTTATACCATAAGAAAAGAAAAATCGAGAAAATGATTTGCAGATACCTAATCTGTATTTAGAAGGGTATTATGGAAAAGAGATCTTTTATTTTAGAAGATAAGAGAATGAATTACATGGCCTCTACACGTCTCATATAAATACATTTAGAAATTGAAGGAAGCTGTAAAACTAACTAAGTAACAAACTAACTAGTAACTAACTAACTAACTAATTAGATTCCATAAAATGGCGCCAAACTGGAAACGTAGGCTGCTGAACTTGATTCCTGATACACCCCCTCAAGATGGACTATACAAATTCAGTATAGCCATCTTGGTCATAAGATGAAAAAGAAGCGATGATTGTAATGGTTTGGTAAACACATCGGCCAATTGATGTTGTGGATTGGTAGTAATTTGATGAAACCTTCAATGACTTTGTCTCAAATGAAGTGACGGTCTATTTCTATATGTTTGGTTCTTTCGTGAAAGATAAGATTATTTGCAATGTGAATGGCTGCTTGGTTGTCGAAAAAAATCAGAGCTAGAGCTGAAACAATGACCTACAAATCAGTAAGTAGCTGATAGATCCACACTACCTCATATGCTAAAGAAGCTAGAGCACGATTGTAACGACCCGACTTTCTCGAAAACTCAGATTTTTAACAAAATCAGGAATTTAATATATCTCTAGCCACAAACATAAAAAAAATCGTTTCTTTATTCATAAATAAACAATATAAATGTTTTTTCAAAGTTTAAAACAAATGAAATGATGTTAAATCCAACATTTAATCCATAATAAAAAAGAAAAAGAAACATAACAAATAGATTTCTCTTTATTAAATGAAATTTCTGCCATCATCGACCGATTTCCCATCTCCAAACTCACGATCTCAATTTCCTGAAAGGGGGAAAATTTAAAGGGGTGAGATTTAAGAAAAATCTCAATAAGTGTGTGAGGTGAACAAGTGATTTGCGTTTAAATAAAGGAAAATATGAAATTTTCATAACATACGTATAGGAGACACATGGACTACTCCGAACATAGGTGGTAGTAAATCCAGTGCGTAGCGCTACTAAACTCCGGCCTTCTTATCATAAACATACATGGCCCATAATTGGATTTCCAAAATTTAAATCACAAAATACTGATTCACGTAACCACATGCAACATCACTTACCTCGTAAATTTCGAATGAAAATGATAAGAAACGTGTGGGGGTAGTTGATTACTCCAAAACCATCCTATGTGTTGTCTTGTGTACACAGAAGCAAAGGAATTGATTATTGTATGTGTGAGGAAAGTGGAAATGACGTGTGGGTGGCCAAGTTTAGTCAAATCATATTGAAAGAAATAAAAAGAAAAGGAATCTTTCTTGATTGGCTCTACAAGTCATTGATTATTTACCAAATTCTCACCATGATTTTAGCAAATCTTTCAACTATACACACGTACGGTTATGGCAATAGAACTAGATTGAAGGGAACAATATTCATACCAAAATTAGTTAAGTCCGTAACTAGGTAAAGTTCACAATTTGATCCCTAAACAAAAAAAAACTAACAATTTGGTCCTTAAATATTTAATTTCTTACTATAAGGTCCTAATTCCTAATAATAACGACTATAACGAAATTTCTGGATATTATAACGATACTCTGCCTCAGCTGAAGATTTAGAGACTGTTGATTACTTTTTGAACTTCCAGTTGATCAAACAATTCCCAAGGAAAACACAAAAACCAGTTATAGATTTTCTGGAATCCGGGCACGACCCCCAATCTACATCTGCAAAGGCACGGATTTGGAAAGGAGCTGGAGAAGAATTAGGACAGGAGGCATCAAAGAACAAACTTTGTCCTGGGGGGCTGTTTTTATATATCTCAAGAGGTGATGCACAACATCAAGATGAGGCTGGCGGGACTATGACACAAATTGACTTAACTTGTGGACAGCAAATGTGATGTCTGGCATGACACAGTCAAATAAAGCAGGCGCCCAACAAGACGACGATATATGGAAACATCCTCAATTAAATCCCCATCAAGAGCACTGAGTTTCACTTTGGGATCCATTGGTAGCAAGGCAGGTTTGCTTGCCAAAAAATGGGTATCTTCTAGTAGTTGTAAAGAGTAATGTCTTTCACAAAAAAAATCCCCTTTTGTGATCTTGCAATCTCCAATCCAAAGAAATACTTTAGGTTTCCAAGCACCTTCAATTTGAACTGTGTGTAGAAAACTCTTCAATGAATTAATTATTTCAACATTTGATCCATCGTCTACATACACCAATAAAGCAACAAAAGAATCACCAGTCCCCTTTGTAAACAATGAGTAATCAGCCTTAGATTGCTAGAAACCATGTAACAAGAGTGCTTGGGAAAATTTTGAAAACCACTGTCTAGAGGCTTGCTTCAAGCCATAGATAGACTTATGCAATTTACACGCCATCTTCTCCCCTTTAGGTCCAGTAGCATGATGTTTAAGGTGTCCCATTGGCAAATCCATGTAAATTTCTTCAAATAAGTCATCGTTAAGAAAGACATTACTTACATCTAATTGCACCAAATGCCATTTGTTGACTGCAACCACTGCAAGTAATATCTTGACTTAAACCAACTTAGCTACTGGAGAGAAGGTTTCATTGAAATCTAAACCTTCCTGCTGAGTGTAACCCTTTGCCACCAGCCTA